TTCTTTCTTTTAAGCAAGTTCTTTGCAGTTCTACCAATACAGTTGTTAAATCCAGATTATGTGATTGCAAGAAAGGAAAGAACAAGATAGTTGAATAACAATCAGTTTAAAAATGGCGACATAATGATAATATCCTCTCAGCTTTATCACTGGGTCCCTCTGAGAGAAGAACAGGCAAACTAGTGGTCCAAAGCCCCTGACTTTTTACCTCCTGCTCCATCCATAACTGCATGCGCAAGAAAAGAATAGGGTAAGTGCTTACAACATACAAATGCATTCTGCACAGTAGTATGTTGTAAGCACTTACCCTATTACCCTATGCATTCTAACACAGGAGCGTTAGATTATGGGTGGATATGAGACCAGTAAATAGAATAGCTCTCTTTGATAGTTACCCTGCCACACAGTTGAATTGGGATAGACCTGTCGGGGTCAGTGGGTCTGAAAATGGTCTCTTTTTTCTTCTGAAGTGGTGGGCAGTCCCTGCAGAGGACCATGTTCCAATTACAGGGTTTCTTTTTGATACCCACAAGCCCAGATTTTGATCCCACCTCTATATTAGCCAAATCATGGTACACATCTAAAACAATATTACAAATATAATAGTATTCAGACTAATTCCTGTAGCTTGAATACTGTCTAAAAATAGTGGTGGTACGTAATTATTCTATGCTACATCCTTTCTAAATATTGAGTAGATTTACTTATGTACTCTTCATTTAACACTAAGTTGTTCTATATGTGTACATCCTTTAAACTACCCATTCTGATTAAGTCAACTGCTGAGTCAAATTCAAAATAATATATAGAGACAATAATGTACAGCAACTGACATTGATTAACTCTTAAAAGCTGTATGGACTTTTTATGTGAATCTTTTTTCATTTAGGCTCTTGATTCATAAATATTTTACAATCATTTGTTTTGAATAGGAGTTTGGAGAAGTCAGTTACACAGTAGGTAAGGGAACATGATTGTCTACTAAGCTGGTGGAAAAAGGTGCTGTCTGATGCATAAGCATGTGTTTCAAGCTATCTTTCAGTACAGGAGTAAAAGCTGTGTCTCATCCAAAATGTACTCAGTCAACCTGTGTTTTTTAACTTCCTTTGGGTTGGACAGATGCCTGCTATTTTTGGAATGCAGTTTTAATCAAAGGGTGAGGTCGTTCTATCTTACAGTTAGAACACAGTTTTCACACATACGCATAACATAAAGTTCTTCCTCTTTTAAAGAAAAAGAAGTTATATTTATTTTCTTAGTAGAGTACTGACCAGATCCATTCTTGGAAATAACACAGCCAGTGATTAAGGTCAAGGTCAGTTGGGACAGCAGGAATAAATGATGCTAACAAGAGGAAACAGGAAGGATTAAGGTTTTGCCTTCAATCTGTCTTTTATTACTGTTTTTTTTTTTTTTTTTGGTAAAATACTGTTTCAATTAAGTGCTGAACTGCATAATGGTTTGGGCACATGTGTACTTTAAATTTTTCAGATTTCATTTCGAACAATTCTAATCATCCCTGTTTTTCAATTGCTTTATTGCCCACATGGAGAATAGTAGGGCTGAACCTTAACTATGAGGAAAGAAGCAGATTTTTCTACCCTTCTCAAATATTGCACAGAGTGTAAGAGTAGGCTAATTGAGGAATCTCCAAGCCAAGTGGAGGAGAGCTCTGTTACAGCACATGCTATTGCCTGATTTTGGAGGAACCTCTTTTTCTCGTCCCATAATAGCCTATCTGAGATAGCAGAGTGCTCCAGATCTTAAAGGAGAAGTAACTGCAGGCGGGGGGGGGGGAGGAGATGGATGGAAAGGTCTAGTTCAGTGATGGCGAACTTATGACACACGTGTCAAAGGTGACACACCATGACGTTTTGGGTGACACTCCAGCATTCACCAACAGCCAACAAGTATTCTCCCTGTTGAGTTACCAAAGAAACTGAGTTTGTTGTACTCATATGTCATTTTTGTAATTATTTGACGTTTTTTTATATAATACATAGCACCACACATGATTGGACTGTATTTTTTTTAAAATAAACAAATGTGTAAAGAATTGTCTCTCTTTTGTTTGGGTAGGGGGTGACACATCAGCAGAGTCAAGTTAGGCATTTTCCAAATTTTTGATGCGCCAAGCCCAAAAGGTTTGCCATCGCTGCTCTAGTTAGATATGCTAAGTTTGGATCCATCCCGGAAACAAGTGGGGAAGGTGTGTCCTATTTTGCTCTAGCAATTAGTTAATGGTGCTGTTCCTTTATCTTTTTTAATTGGGTGACTGCAGACAGTATAGACATTGTATAATAGCAAATAAGCCATGATAAATAAGACATTATGTGAAATGTTCCCTATTATATACCAGATTTCATCAAGAACATCTTTTTGGATTAGAAATGTTTAAAGATATATTTTCTTTGGACAGTGCACAAAGTAAGTGTTTTCTTCAATCGAGTAGGTAACAATAACAACTTCGTTTTAAATTGGTAATTTTGGCATATTTAATTCTTTAATTCATTTTAAAATGTTATTTTTATTAGGCCATGAAATCACAAAATATTGTGCAACCCCTAGCCATCTCCAGATCTCCAGCACTTGCAGATTGTAGTATAATAACTCAGTGTGAAGATGACACATTATTTTATCTGAAGGTTGTACAACCTTTTTCTTCTTTTGTCCAAAGCTGTGTTTCCTCAAGAATAATTTGATGGGTGAGATCATGGGCAAGGCTAAAGCAGACAGTGAATTGGGTACTCTTTTTTCTCTTTTGGATGCCCTTTTTTCTCCCAAGCAGTAGGCTTATGGAAGAGAGTAGATAACTGATCAGAAGTCTAAATCATTTTCATATGGAGGGAGCTAGAAAATAGTCTCAGGGATGTGTATTTGGCCTGAAGGTAGACTTTTTGTAAGCAATAACTAGTTTAAGCAACAAGCAAACTAGCCGTTGTTTACAAGTGCACTTTCAATGTACCAACTAGCATCAACATATTCTGTCTTTTGTATTTCACCCCTTCCAATAAATGCTTCACGTTGTAAGATAAAGTTAGGGATTGTGTGGCGTTTCTGATGTAATTCTAATGTATTACAGCTTCAGCTACACTAGAAAGGGTAGCTAGTGGTGGAAGATGCTGTTCAACAGCATCTGGAGTGTCATAGGTTGGCTATCACTACTGTAATATAAATGCTAAAACACTCATTTCTTTATGCTTGATAAAATCAAATTAAGAGAAATCTCGTACTTTCTCATATTTTTCATTTACTGTATGTGTATTGTTAAATATCTCTGAAAAGTAATAAATCTTTGTATTATTTTGTATTCTATGTCCTTTGTACAGGAATGCATGCTTTGCGGAGAATACTTCATAAGAAAGAGAATCTCCTAGATGATGATGTGTCTGTATCTGTAATTATTAATCGCAGTGATTTCCTGCAGGCAATGAATGATGTCAGGCCCAGTGCCATGAGAGAAGTGACAATTGATGTACCCAAAGTAAGATTTCTCTGTACAATATTCTGTTATTCAGAGATTGAAGAATAAGAAAAGGTCCATGCTTAAAGGCAGTCACCTGATCACAGTAGTTACTAAAGAGGTCTTTAAACCCTTCCCTTTGCATATCTTGGGAATGTGTTAGAACTGTAACTCTTATAATTCCTAGTTATGCTAGCTGGAAATTATTGGAGTTGAAGTTCCAGCTTAGCTGGAGGTTAAGAAGGCTTACCTAGGAAAACATCAATCATTATGAAAAATAGAGTGGGGCCCAAGTGAATAGTCAGTATTAACCTTGCATATTTTCCAACATCATAAGTCTCTCATAAGGGTGGAAATATAACACATTGCTGTACATTGATATTCTTTATTTTTGCGGAATGTGCAGGGATAGACTATCTTGAGATAGGCATATGGGTGGGACAGAAATACGAACACACACACACTGTTGTTTCTGCAAAGTCTTTCAATCCAAGATGAACAAATTTAATGAACACAGCTTAGTTAAAGAAAAATCTTTATTGTAGACAATAATGTAGCTGTGCAAATCAATTGATTGACCATTGCCAGAGAAAGGATGCAAATGACGCTTATGCTTGTGGTGGTTTATATTTGTTTTTTTCTTGTGCCTTTCCGATGAATTAGCAGCTTCTTGTTGCAGCATTTGGTGACCTTGAACTGAGCAGTTGTATTTACGTAACTGCCTTCTTTAGCCTGAAAGTGGTTTACACATTTGTAGAACAATAAGCTTGAGAAAGGTATTCTGGACAGATACTACATCAGTATTACCAGAAATAAAGACTGATTACTGCACTTATTTGGCACTGATTGTGGTGTGTGTGTGTGTATGTGTGTCCAAAAAAAAGTGACCTGGAGACAATGTTAGAGTAGATCTAATTAGGTACTGAACTCACAGTAGCTGCTTGAAAATGCTGTAGTCATACTGCTGAACTTAGAAGCTACCAAAAATGAATAAAAGTAATGTTGCAGGGTGGTGACCATTTGGTCCTTCTGTTGTGCTTCTCTATTTCAGTAGAAGTAAAGATCTGGCTTACATATAAGGAAGAGAAAGGTAGGGAACATAAGGAAGTGAAAATAAACAAGAGTGGGGGTAAGACAAAGGAGCTATTGCTCCTCCACTTCTATGCCATTCAGCAAAATTTATATTCCATTAGCTTCTGTAATCAGTAATAAAGGTATTTGAAAAACTTGCCTTGTTCTTTTTAAAACTACCAAGTCTATTGATACCAATCCTACTTCTGTTTTCCACCCATGCTTCCTCAACGCTGCTTGGCAGATTGGAATTTCCACTGATTATGGATGAACCCATCTTTCCCTACCATTCTTTAAGAATAATGGAATCCTTAAAATCCATATTTGGAGAAATGTAGCAAAAATGGTCTAAAGGTTATTTGTATGTTAGGGTAGATTAAAATGGTAGGATTTGTTTTGAAGAAGGAACATTTTATTTAAATTGGATTGTTAAAATGTAATGTTTTCCTTTCTTTTTAAGAATAAAGGGTTTTCTATGTAAATGGAGAATCAGTTTGGAATCGAGATGTCAGGTCACCTGGCTATAAAGACAAAAGCCCAGTCTGTCTCTGCTTAGTTGCCTGTGATCTGCATAGCAGATCACCTTGCCTCTGAAGATGCCAGCCACAGTTGCTGGCAAAATGTCAGGAAGTCTGTTGTCTAGACCATAGTCATTGTATTATGGAGACCCAGTTTGGTGCGGTGCTTAAGGCACCAGGCTAGAAACTGGGAGACTGAGTTCTAATTCTGCCTTATGCACAAAGCCAGCTGGGTGACTTTGCACCAGTTTCTCTCAGCCCTAGGAAGCAGGCAGTGACAAGCCACTTCTGAAGAGCCTTGCAGGGACTTGTCCAGGCAGTCACCAAGAATCAAAAACTGACTCGAAGGCATGTGCACGCGTGTACACACACACACACAAAAATAATCACACTAAACTCTGAAGCTTAACACTGCCCAATTTGGCTGTTTTTCAATGCAGATATTTGCAGAATCTAGACATTTAGTTTTCATCTAGAAGCAGGTACTAGGAGTAACCTCAAACAGCAACATAAGCTGTCATACATTCCTTGCTAGGAGATGCGAAGCCAGATTGTAGGGGTGAAACAATTCTGTAACTCTATTTATCTGCAAATTAATGTACTTTATCTGTCAGGTTAGTAGTATTGTTTAGAGAATTCATGAAGTTACAGTGGAGAACATGATTTAAAGAAGTTAATTTTTTTTATGTGTCATTTAAATGATGTTGGCTAGGTATTGCTAAATATTTTAAAGTAAACTTTTGTTCTTGGAATCTGTTGTTTTCTGCTAATTAATGAAAGTGATTTGTTCTATAGATATCCTGGTCAGACATAGGAGGGCTGGAAGATGTCAAACTGAAATTAAAACAAGCTGTTGAATGGCCACTGAAGCATCCTGAATCTTTCATTCGAATGGGCATTCAGCCACCAAAAGGAGTACTTCTGTATGGACCTCCAGGATGCTCTAAAACTATGATTGCTAAGGCCTTGGCTCACGAAAGTGGTCTAAACTTTTTGGCAGTGAAGGTTAGTAATCACTATGTTCTTAAGCATGATGTTATCAAGTACCATAAAAACACTTCCATAGCATTCTTCAACCATCAGCCTTCCAGATATATTGGGTCTACTGGATGGGCATTGCAGTCATTGCTTTACTTCCCTGTTTTATATGTTTGTTCATAGTGTTTTATTTTTTTCTTCTCAGGACCTATGAACTAAGTATGCACTGCAAGTCTAGGGGAGAATAGTACATTTAGAAGAAGAAAAGGAAATCACAGTACTCGCTTAGCTAAATTTCTGGTTTATTCAGAGCTATTTAGTAAGAACAAGGGCAGCCTGTGTGACAGTGACAGCACCTCAAGGTAGTGCCACTGAAGTTTGGTGGCAAAATGATTGGATTCGGTGATATAATTTGTATTACAAAATAAAAAGTTGGAATAAGAGTGAAAAGACTCTGGGGGGCAAACTGATCCCATTTCCACCCCTAAATTCTCCATGTTCCATAAAAATGGCCTGAGATAACATCTTTCAGGGTTCACTTTGTTTTTTTAATTAAAGCATTGGGACTTGGAAGCCTCTACGAATCAAACTGATTTCAGCCTTGTCCCATCTGGTTACATCACCAAATCACCAGATGCCCTCCTGCACCTTAATATGTTATTGTTATTCATATTTTTAAAATTTTGTATGAAAAAGAAATGCTTTCCAATAAGGTTTCCCAAATTAGATTCAAAACATAATCTCAAATCAAAAGCTGAATTGCCAATGTTTTAAGAAAAAGGTGTCAGTATGTTTATTGCTTTTATAAATGTTTATTATAAGAAAAAGTAGCTTAGCTCAGAATGTGTAGTCCTTAAAAAAACACTGAGGTTAAATGAGATAAGATTGTTTTTCTCCTGGAGGACATACTGTTTTGTGCAAACTCCAGCCCTTAGTTTTTTGTAAACAAAAACAGTTTTGGTTATTTATTAATTTATTTCAATACTTTGTATGCCACTTACACCCTGGGCTCTTGGGAGTAAGGGATGCATCTGCACCAAAAAAAAAAAAGTTGGAAGAAAGAGTACTTAATATCATTCATTGCCTACTATTTTTCTACTGTGTTTCTTTCTCTTCTTCCTCTAAGGGCTTCCAGTTGTATAGTTACCTTCAAAGTTTGCAGAGTGAGAAACAGTTTGGTATGTTGTGAGCAGCAACTAGTAGAGGAAGAAGCACACAGAAAATACTCACATTAGTATTCTTTTGCCATTTCTTACAAGAATGCTCCTCCCAAAGTAGCTTGCTTGTATCATGTATATTTTTAAAAACTTTTTGTAATGTATGGCTTAATGCAGGGGTCCTCAAACTTTTTAAG